ATCAAGGTCCTATTATGTTTAATGTATGTACCAAATTTGAACAAAATCCGTCCATGCATAACTGAGATCCGGGTCCGGAATGGTGAAAATGTGCGATTTTGATGCATTTTCGGCCTTAAAATGGCCGCTATTCGGCTATCGTTAATCGGATCATGAAAAAAATGCATGTGCATATGTCCCATATAATGTGTGATGTATGAGTGAAGTTTGAACTCAATCGGTCCATGCATGTTCGAGATACAGGTGATCACGGACGCACGGAAGCACGGACGCACGGACGCACACAGGGCAAAACATAAGTCCCCGTTTTCGGACTGCGTCCGAACGGGGACTAATTAATGATAATCACTATGGTTATTTTCCAACTGTCGTTAGCAGCATTTTAGTAACATTAATGCATAGTTTTCAATTTCCACGACAACCACAAACTGAAAATGAATCTGTGCACTTACCTGAACGCAAGATTATATCATTATAATACTTAAAATAATCTGAGGGTGTGTAATATTTTATTTTCAATCAATTTGTTAAAGACAATAACAAAATATCTGCAATGTGTCAGTGTTTTTTGTTGTTTTTTATGGACTCTTCAGAAAGGATTCTAGCATGTGTGCATGTGTTACTGAAAGTACAAATATAGTATGTACGATACTAAACTATCAATACATCCATCTATAGTATAAGAATTTGATTTATTTTTCAACCAAGATTTTGGGTATATATTGAAACCACCATAAATACCATCTTAAGTACTACATGTATGTATGTACACATCTTATTAAACATTTGTCACTGTATTTTCGTAAGTTACAGCATCCCGTAATTTAGCGGTACTTCACAGGGTATCCACATTCTACCCCATTAGAATACACCAATTCCAAATACTACATGATTACACAGTAAGATGGTTGACATGTCACTGTCACTGGAGCCAACTATCCATGACCATCCGTACGAACCTATGTGTTATAGTGTTGGAAAAAGCTGTATTTGACCTAAGTTAAACTGAATGATTTGATTGTTCATGCCAAGGAGCTAGATCTCAATCAGCATCCTCAATTTCAAATTCAAACGTAAAGATTTTGTTTCCCATGGAAACACGTCACAACACATGACTCGTGTTCTATTTACCATGGAAATGCACCAGAGCACAGGTCACTGTGTTTGATTTCATCAACACTGAATAAAGTTTCATGGTAGGAATTCTGCCAAGGTATAATGTTGAGACTTATTAATAAATGAAAACCTTGGCTGGCGATGATGCAGACTTTTTTGGAAAAGTTAATAATTTCATGATGCATAATAATAAAGTTATTACGAAGACAGCACAAAGTATGTATAGCATTGAACTCCATTACGTTTTAGTCGATACTTTCGCAGTACTCCCTTCATGTATACTTTGCGATATCTTAACTAGTCATTGTTAATGACACAGTCATTGTTAATGACACAGTCCCCGTCCAAAATTTTGTGATCTGACATATCAATTTGAAACCATTAATAGGAGGTGGATTTGTAAAAAATTATGATTTAGTGCTTTTACACGAGAATTGAACATTGGGCAGTCATATTGAATCAAATTACAAAAATAATATTCGTGTTTATGTATTGGTATACTGTCTTTGTACAAAATTTAAACAGAAATGTTCATTGCATTCATGGGAAAGTAGGCATGGGTACCATGAAATGGCCACCAGTCAGCCATATTAGTTTGAATCACACACAAAATATGATGTGCACCTATAACCAAATATGTATGATCATCATACCAAGTTTGATCCAAATCAGCACAGTCATCTCTGAGAAAAAGCTCCGAACATGTAAAAATGACGATTTAGCACTTTTACATGAAAATGGAGCATCAGCCAGCCCTATTAAATTGAATCACAAAAATCATGTTGGTGCAGAATATCTCTTGGTATACTATCTCTGTACAAAATTTAAACAGAAACATTCATTGCATTCAAGATAAAGTAGCAAGGGTACCATGAAAAACAAGATGGCCGCCAGTCAGCCATATTTGTTTGAATCACACAAAAAATGATGTGCACCTACAACCCAATATGTATGATCATCATACTAACTTTGATCCAAATCGGTCCAGTCATCTCCGAGAAACTACTGCGGACACATTTAGGTATCAGAATTAGAAAATCTTACATCCAAAATGGTCGCCAGTCGGCCATTTTTCTCCGATCATAGGGTAACTTGACGTGCATATGTTATGTATTGTCTTCATGTAAGGTTTGAATGAAATCCGTCAATGTGTGTCCGAGATATAGCTCTGGACGTACGGACGGAGCGAACCCAAATTAATAGTCCCAGTTTTCGGACTTTGTTCGAACGGGGACTAAAAATCTTAAATAACACAAACTTACTTGTTAAGTGTTTCTGTTCTACATAATTTCTTTCCTGGAGAGCCAATTTTACTATCAGTCACCAAGTCAGACTTCCTCTTCATCTGTAATTAAACATAAAATACATTCAGTCAGTGTGCCATACTACCCATATTATCAGTGGCATGTATATATACACTCTATATGTATTAAGGGAACATAAAACAATTGAAATTTTGCACTTCTGAGCATGTTGTTTTGTGCAATGCATTATGAGAAAGAACTTCCCATTGTATAATCACAAAACCAGACCAGACCAGACTCTTACATTTAAAGTCATTATTTTTAAATTTTTACAATATTAGGATTCATATCAATACAAAATATAAGATTTATTTCAGTTGATGTCACTAAGCAATAATTTCACCAATCATACCAGTGACATTTCAAACTCTTTTTAAGATTTGTTCCTGCAATTAACCCATGATAATGCAATATCAATCAAACGTCCTTAGAAGGAAAATTACTACTACAATGGTATTAGCAGTATGTGATTTTACAATGAAATGTAAAACAACAAAAAATATGCCAATCATAGCCTTAGGTGATTGCCATTTTATTAACGAGTCATCAATATGAGGGTAATCCCATAATGCATCTCACTGTATTCTCAGCAGTAGATGAACATTCAAAGATTTTCACCATTACTGATAAAATCTAATGTCTAGTGCTGTTTTCTTGACTTTAGCGGTTTTACAAGCTCTTTGACGGCGTTCCACAGCAGATCACACAGAGTCCATAGAAATACATGGTACAGTGGTGCACATTCGGGCAACACAGAACGTTCAGTGACAAAGCTCTAAAGAAACAGCAATGCAATTGAAATACTGATTATCAGTCAATTACGTTTTGACTGTAAATACCACCACATTAGTTCTAAGAAAGCATAATGTGTGTATGTTAATGCCTTGTCCAAATTGCTTACAAAACTAACTTGGTATTTTTGGCTTATACATGTATACACATGTATGTATGCACATACCTTCCCTGATTACACCAGCTGTCAATGGTGAATTACATTTTGTCACTCCAGCAAACAAATGGTGAGAACTAATTTCAAAGAATGAATTATTCTAAGGAAATGCCCATTAAAAAGCATGTCATCACTCAGAGAAGGTAATTTAAATGTCAATTTATTAGCTAACTGAATTTGAGATATTTCATATTACTATCAAATCCCTATGAAGTTATTATTATTAAATTAGTAATTGGCTAAACCAGATATATATGAATGTATCAGGGCTGTGCTTCTAAATAGAGCACATATCAACTGATCCACTAAATGAGCACGTAAAACAAATTCAAGACTCAGAGAAGGTTCCATCATACTGTAGTACTTTGCATCTCTTTTTAACAGAAACACCAATGTAACTAGCAAACAACTTGCAAGTAGAATGAATGTCTGTGTTTTTGTTTGCAGGAAGGAATCAAACTGTCAATCTCCCTGATAGGCAAGGCAGTAAAGGCTAATTATAAATATTTTAATTCCACATTACTAATACATACAAAGTATTTTTTTTGTAATTACCTCATTAACAATGTATCCACAATATCAACTCCAGATAAAACACGCTATAATCTTTCCAATGCATACATACATTGTATCATAAAAGAATAATTTTAAATTAAGGTAGCGAGACTATTATTTGTGTTGAAAATTACGATTTTCACATTTATTTATTAATTGATGAAATGCACTACAAACTTTCATGTGATGAAGTCAACATAACATAGAATGTCATGTAAGTTGGTTAAAATGTAGATTTTCTGAAGCAAGGCAGCCTCAGTAGTGTTTTCCAAAATCAACAACACAGGTTTAATCTGTGTGCCTATAAGTTTCAAAGATAAACTCAAGACAAAGCAATATTAGGATGTGTTATCAGTAGCTATCAGACACACAATTAGCGTTTCCAAACATTTGAGTGGTTTGTCTCCGCCCCTGTTTGTTTCACAGATTAGTCATTTGCATATGAATGTGTCAGACACAAGGTCACACAGCCACTGAAAAAAATCATTTGATTTTGGT